GACAAACTGTCTCCAGCCACTAGACCCAAAAAGAACAATCTTACTTTCATCAGTCCACAAAATGTTACGCCATTTCTCTTTAGGCCAGTCAATGTGCTCTTTGGCAAATTGTAACCTCTTCAGCACATGTCTTTTTTTCAACAGTGGGACTTTGCGGGGGCTTCTTGCAGATAGCTTGGCTTCACATAGGTGTCTTCTAATTGTAACAGTACTCACAGGTAACTTTGAATGGTAGTTTTTCACTTTCGTCCACATCTTTCAGGTTTTGGTTGCCATTTTAAAGCATTAGCGATCATTTTAGCTGATCAGCCTATCATTTTCTGCACTTCTTTATATGTTTTCCCCTCTCCAATCAACTTTTTAAGCAAGGCATGCTGTTCTTCTGAACGATGTCTGGAACGACCCATTTTCCTCAGAATTTCAGAGAGAAATGCACTGTAACCAGCATGTACAACATTTGCTGCCTTCCTTCCTTAAATAAGGGCAATAATTGCCACCTGTTTTTCAAAGAATGAATGACCTCACTAATAGAACTCCACACTGCTATTATTTTGAACATGCCCCTTTCAATTAGTGATTCCATTACACAGAATCAGCAGCATGCATGTCATGACTGTAGGGTTTGTTGGATTTCTATTACTCTACTACACCTGCTAGTAAATTATTTGCTATGTAGAAATATCATTTCTACCAAAAACAGTGATTGATCAGGTTAGTGATGTCTGACTGCTATTATTTTGAACACAACTGCACATACATTTTTTTAGTCCTGATGAAGGGGATGGCGTTTGACCCCCCTCAAATTATATTGGCTGTTTATATATGATCTATTTACCAACAATTAAAATGACCTTGGACTCTTCCATCCCGCTTTTGGTCTGGGGCTCTTTTCTGTATTTCTGTTTGAATTACTGGGTGCTCATTGGGGGAAGTCTTGCCATGCTAGAGCCGGAGCTATTGAGCTTTTCTGAAGTTTTCTGCCAACTGACTGCATGTACAAGTTCATTGCCTCTTTAAATGGGTTTTCTGGAGGTTTAAATGGGTTTTCATTGTTGCCTGTGTTTCTGATTAAGTTACGCTACCACCTCCCCCTCACTTCCCCTCTCTGTTGGGGTCCCTTAAGGTTCTGTCCTCGGGCCCCTTCTCTTCTCCATCTACACCTCCTCCCTTGGCCAACTGAAACACTCTCACGGCTTCAACTACCATCTCTATGCCGATGACATGCAAATCTATCTCTCTACCCCTCGCCTCACCCCTTCAGTCTCTGCCCCAATCACTAGCCTACTGAACGACATATCGGATTGGATGTCACTCCACTTCTTCAAATTAAACCTTTCCAAAACCGAGCTCCTAGTTTTCCCCCCAGCCCGCGCACCCCCCCCCCGACTTTTCCATCACGTCCTACAATGCCACCATCAGTCCCACCCCACAATACAGAGTACTAGGTGTCATCCTAGACTCCAACCTGTCTTTCCAACCCCAGGTCCAATCGCTGACAAACTCATGTTGACTCCACCTCCTCAACATCTCCAAAATACGTCCATTCCTAACCCCGGAAACTACTAAACAACTCATTTACTCCCTTATTATATCACGACTCGACTACTGTAACTCCCTCCTCACCGGCTTACCTCACCACAGGCTATCCCCGCTTCAGTCTATTCTGAATACTGCGGCCAGACTCATCCACCTTACTAACTGCTCCGTATCCGCCACCCCCCTCTGCCAATCCCTCCACTGGCTTCCAATTGCCCAATGGATAAAATTCAAAATGCTAACATTGACGTACAAAGCTGTTCATAACACTGCCCCAAACTACATCACCGACCTGATATCCAAATACCACCCTAAACGTACTCTCTGCTCCTCACAAGACCTCCTACTCTCTAATTCCCTGGTCTCCTCCTCCCATGCCCGTCTCCAAGACTTCTCCAGGTCTGCCCCCATCCTCTGGAACTCCCAACCCCAATCTATCAGACTATCATCTACCCTCCTCTCCTTTAGATGCACCCTGAAGACCCATCTCTTCAGGGAAGCCTACCCCGCCCTCAGCTAATTGCTGATCTCCTCCACTCTTCCTACCACTCCATCACCCACAGCTATTTCCTCCTGTACCACTGTCCCCTCCCTCCTAGATTGTAAGCTCCAAGGAGCAGGGCCCTCGAACCCCTCGTGTATCGATTTGTATTGTTACTGTACTGTCTCGTGTACTGTCTCCCATTGTAATGTACAGCGCTGAGCAAACCGTTGGCGCTATATAAAAACTGTATAATAATAATAATAAAAGTATTTCCACCATTATTTCCATGTGGTCACTCAATGAGTCAGAAAGTGAGGGAAATTCCCTATGACAGGAACACAATATTAAAGTTTGACATGGGTCTAAACCTTCCCCTCTATATGCAAAAATTAAGGTTTTCATAGAAGTTTCAGTTTAACTAAAAACTTTACTGTCTGTTTCCTGGGCTGTGGTTAAAAATTCAACTTCATAAGAGCACAGGTCTCCGTGTCAACCACCATCACATGGCAAATTCAGCATTTTCAGGAGTGGGTGGTGTGTCCCACATTCATATCAGTACAAATGTGATTCCCAAAGGAACCTGTATTAAAGTGTATTTTTTCAAAAATAATTGTGTTTGAAAAACCACTACGCAGATACCATGTGACATAAAAAATTGCAACAATCGTTATTCAATTCTCTAGGGTCTTTGCTAAAAAAAATACACCATATTGCCAAAAGTATTAGGACACCCCTCCAAATCATTGGATTCAAGTGTCCCAGTCACCTCCATAGGCACAGGTGCATAAAATAAAGCACCTAGGCATACAGACTGCTTCTACAAACATTTGTGAAAGAATGGGTCCCTCTAAGGAGCTCAGTGAATTCAAGCGTAGTACCGTGATAGGTTGCCACCTGTGCAATAGGTCCATCGGTGAAATGTCCTTGCTACTAAATATTCCACAGTCTACTGTTAGTGGTATTATAGCAAAGTGTAAGCAAATGGGAACAACAGCACATAAAAATGACAGAGCGGGGTCAGCGCATTCTAAAGTGCGCAGATGTCGCCAACTGTCAGTAGTTAAAGACCTCCAAAATTCATGTGGCCTTCAGATTAGCACAATAGCAGTGAGAGAGAGCTGCATGGAATGGATTTCCATGGCTGAGCAACTGCATCCAAGCCTTACATCACCAAGTCCAATGCAAAGCGTCGGATGCTGTGGTGTAAAGCACACCACCACTGGTCAAAGTGGAGACGTGTTTCTATGGAGTGACAAATCACTCTTCTCTGTCTGACAATCTGATGGATGTGTCTGGGTTTGGCAGTTGCCAGGAGAAAGGTACTTGCCTGACTGCATTGTGCCAAGTGTAAAGTTTGGTGGGGAGGGGGAAATTACGGTGTGGCGTTGTTTTTCTCGGGTTGAGCTTGGCCCCTTAGTTCCAATGAAAGGAATGCACAGAAGGCTGGGCTGAAGGCGATGTCCGATGGGATACCACATACAAGTCAGGTGACACATTTCCAAGCTTCCGCTTCTTCTTCAGACCTAATTGGCTGCCGCAAGTGTCAGTCTGGATCCGGGGTGGAGCCAAGGATCGTTTTTAGGGATGCACCGATACCATTTTCTTATGTACGAGTACCGATACTTTCGGTCAAGTACTCTACGATACCGATACTTTGCTGTAAGATTTGCGTCCATACAAGATGGATGCAAATTGCACTGCAAAGAATAGCATGCGATTTGAACAGGAATGAGATTCCTGTCCAAATTGCATGCGGTTTCCCCATTGCTCCTTTGTGAACTCAGACTGTCATAGCCTGAGTTTGTCAAATGGACGGTTCTGACTAATCAAATGCCATCTAGCCCGTATTGTCATCCCTGCAAAGAGAGGAGAGAAAGCTGCTTCACAGGTCTGGGGCTTTGAAATCCCCACAGCTTTCTCTCCTCTCCCTGTAGTGATGACAGTGCGGACTAGATGGCATCTGATTGGTCAGCACCGTCCATGTGACAGTGCTGACCAATCAAAAGCCCTTTAGCCCAAACTGTCTCCCCTGCAAGGAGAGGAGTGAAAGCGGCAGGGATTTCAAAAAACGCGCCGGAAAAACACATCAGCTCCAACCTGCATAGATGTGGACCTAGCCTTAAAGCTGTGTAACTGGGGGCAAAAATAGGTTTATTTTGACTATCCAAACTCAGTTTGCTAAAAGATTTTTTTTTGTTTTTAAAGTGTAATAAAAAATTAATATATTCAGACATTGTAGTGAAATCTGTGGTTTGTAAAAAAAAATCTAGGCCTATTGTTGCCTTACATTGTGCACTTATTTAGGAATAAAACAGAGGTATATAAACCAAAATACATTGCTGTTTTAAGCCAAAGAGCTTGCTAAATATATTCCCAATCAGTGTACTAAAAGAGGTACTTTTTTGTGAAAAAATATAGTTCTGTTATTTTCAGTAGACAACATATTTCCCTAATATAGTAAAAGCTGCAGCTATTTAGGAAATGACAAAGGCTTGTGTTTAGAAAATCTGTGGCTATTTTTGGCTGACAGTTGTTTTCAATAGACAGTTTACTAAAAGCTACAATGAAATAGGAAAAAATTGATGTTTTTCTGTACACCAAAGGCTTCTTTACTAATCACAAAAAGTAGAAGTTTTGTTTAAAAAAAATACATAGAGGGAGTTCATCAAAACTGGAGCAAACAGGGCTGGGCTTTCATTCTTAGAACTAAAGGCAACTTTTTTTTTTTTAACCACAAGCCTACAGGGCACTTCTACCCCCTTCCTGCCCAGGCCAATTTCCAGCTTTCAGCACTGTCGCACTTTGAATGACAATTGCGCGGTCATGCAACACTGTACCCATATGAAATTTTTATAATTTTTTTTGTGACAGATAGAGCTTTATTTTGGTGGTATTTAATCACATCTGGTTTTTTATTTTTTCTTAAACAAACCAAAAACCACTGAAAATGTTGAAAAAAAAAGTTTTTTCTTAGTTTTTGTTATACAATTTTGTAAATAAGTGATTTTTCTCCTTCACTGATGTGCGCTAATGAGGCTGCAGTGATGGGCACTGATAAGCGGCACTGAAAGGCGGCACTGACAGGTGGCACTGATTGGCAGCAATGATAGGTGACACTGAAAGGCAGCTCAGATGGGCACTGATATGTGACACTGATGAGCACTGATGGACACTGACAGGTGGCACTGCTGGGGCTACACTGATCATCAGGGCACACTGATCATCAGTGCCCTGATGATCTGTGTACATGTCCCCTCGGCAGAAAGCCGATTACTGGCTCTCCTCTCAAGCTGTCAACGTGACAGCTCGAGAGGAGAGAAATGCAGATAACCGGCATTTTCCTGTTTACTTGTGATCAGCTGTGATTGGACACAGCTGATCACATGACTGAGCTGACATCTTCGGCTCTTTCCGTGATCAGTGATCCGCTGTGTCCCAGGGACACAGCGCACCGCCGATCGCCGCGCTTTGTGCTCTCTGAGCTGCGCATGCGCGGTGAGAATGGGAGAACGTCATATGATGTCCTCCCAGAACGAGAGAACCACCTTGCATGTGTCATATTACTATATGGCAGGCGGGCGGGAGGTGGTTAAGGGAAGGGAAGGTTACAACCCTTGTTAGTTTTTCCATTTGCCTTTGCGTCCCACTAGGGAGATTTCCCTTCTCTTCCTGTCCCATAGCCAACCAATAAGCGCGAAGAAGTCCTTCTAAAGAGAAGGAATCCAGAGGGGTCACCAGTGTCCCCAGTGGAAGTTTTCCCCTCTATTCCTAAATCCTCCAATCCAAAATTAGGGATTTTCTTTCACTTTAAGGGCTGGATCACACCAGATGCAGTCCAGTGCTTTTTATTTCTGCACCAAAAATGCAGGCATAGGAGCATTTATTTACTGAAGCTGGAGAGTACAAAATCAGTCTCACTTCTGCATTGAAACCAATCAGCTTCTAACCTCAGCTTATTCATTTAAGCTTTGGCAATAAAACCTGGAAGCTGATTGGTTTCTATGCAAAAGTGAGCCTGATTTTGCACTCTCCACCTTTAGTAAATAAACCTTGTAGTGTCAATGCACTGGAACAGTGTGGTGTGAACTGTAAACAAAAACTCATCTGGAATGCATCCAGAGTAGTGTGAACTAGCCCTAAATCAATAAAAACTTGAAAGGTGTTCTAATCCCTCTCTACTCTATCCAAAAATTTTGTAAAAGTTGTGTTTATAACATTAGTTATGTTTTAAATTAACACTACCACCAAGATTGAAAGTGAAGGAAGATCTCAAAGTTTGGATTGTCACCAGAACAGGAATAAAAGGGTAACCTTCCAATGGAGATAGCAGCTCTGGTGACAACTAGGAATTCCATCACTTTCCTGTGTTGGCTATGGGATTGGAACTAAAGGGAAATATGGGTGCATTATCTGCCCAGAACCTTTCTTCATCTGTCACATATCTTCCTGGCCTTCAAAGCAGCGGCATTTACCTAGCTCTTTCTCTCAAACAAATTTAAGTATATTTTGGGTAGTTTGTTCTTCATAGAGGTTAAACATATTTTTCATATTATTCATATATGAATCATAGCATCTATGCTTGATACCTTGGGGATCGGGTACATCCCATAGTCCACGAGGCGCATTCTCAGACACACACCTTACGATATCTGTCGCTTATACTCTGTGTTTTTCAGACATAGGTAAGATATGTATACCATATTGTATATGAATACATAGCTATACAGGTGCATCTCAATAAATTAGAATATCATCAAAAGTTAATTTATTTCAGTAATTCAATTAAAAAAGTGAAACTTCTTTTTTTTTTTCATTTTGACAATTAAGGCTTACAGCTAGTGAAAACCCAAAATTCAGTATCTCAAAACATTAGAATATTACATAAGACCAATAAAAAAAAAGTATTTTTAATACAGAAATGTTGGCTTGCTAAAAAGTATGTCCATGTACAGTATAGTATGCACTCAATACTTAGTCGGGGCTCCTTTTGCATTAATTACCGCATCAATGCAGCATGGCATAGAGGTGATCAGCCTGTGGCACTGCTGAGGTATTATGGAAGCCCAGGTTGCTTTGATAGCAACCTTGTTTGCATTGTTGTGTCTGGTGTCTCTTAACTTACTCTTGACAATACCCCACAGATTCTCTATGGGGTTTAGGTCAGGCGAGTTTTCTGGCCAATCAAGCACAGTGATACCATAATCATTAAACCAGGTTTTGGTGCCTTTGGCAGTGTGGGCAGGTGCCAAGTCCTGCTGGAAAATAAAATCAACATCTCCATAAAGCTGGTCAGCAGAGGGAAGCATGAAGTGCTCTAGAATTTCCTGGTAGAGGGCTGAGCGGACTTTGGACTTGATAAATCACAGTGGACCAACACCTGCAGATAACACGGCTCCCTAAGTCACCACTATGGAAACTTCACACTGGATCTCATGCAACTGAATTCTTTGCCTCTCCACTCTTCCTCCAGACTCTGGGACCTTGATTTCCAAATGAAATGCAAAATTTACTTTCATCCGAAAAGGGGACGGAGCAGCAGTCCTATCCTTTGTCTCCATAGCCCAGGTAAAACGCTTCTGATGTCTCTGGTTCAGGAGTGGCTTGACACAAGAAATGTGATAGTTTTAGCCCATGTCTTGGATACATCTGTGTGTGGTGAATCTTAACACCTGCTGTAGTCCACACCTTGTGAACCTCCCCCAAATTCTTGAATGGTCTTTGCTTCACGATCCTCTCAAGGCTGCGGGTATCCGTGTCACGTACCTTGCTTGTGAGCCTGACGGCAGGGGAAGGCCTCTCATACTGTTCTGGTTCGAGGGCCACTGAAACAGCAACCACAAGAGCACGGCAGGGTATGAGTGCCTGGTCAGTCCTGTAGTCTGTGCAGGAATGGCACTTCACTGGAAGATGGGGTACCTGGACCGGCTGGCAACAGAGCAGGCTGGTAGCAGGCAGACGTCACGGCTGGACAGGCTGGTGGCAGAGCAGGCTGGCAGTGGGCAGACGTCACAACAGGGCAGGCTGATAGCAGAGCAGGCTGGCAGAGGGACAGGCTGGTATTGGGCAGACGTCACTGCAGGACAGGTTGGTTTGCAGACCAGGGTAGCCCGTTGTATGTTGTATGCAGGGTCAGACAGACCAAGTCGGTAACAGATAAACGGATAAGGCATAAATGGCAGGCAGGAGAATAGTCAGGTCACAGGCCAAGGTCAGTAATGGTGGGAGCAGATCAGGCAGATGCGGAGTCCAAGAAGCAAGCCGGGGTCAATCACAGGTATCACTCACAGGAACAGGCACAGGAATACAGGAGGGGGAGCGGCAGATCACACAGCACAGGCTAATAGTGCTGCTGGGTTTAAATAGTCTAATTGGCACCAACATTAGCAACGGGCAGTTAGAGGTGCATGCATGCGCACGACTATGCACAACAGAACAGCCCTCGCACATCTGCGCCTGAGCCTAGAGACTTCAGCACCACTATGGCAAGCATCCTCCTGACACCCTGCTGCTTGTACACTTTTTTCAACCACACTTTTACCTTCCACTCAACTTTCCATTAATATGCTTGGATACAGCACTCTGTGAACAGCCAGCTTCTTTAGCAATGTCCTTTTGTGACTTACCTTCCTTGTGGAGAGTGTCAATGACTTTCTTCTGAACAACTGTTGAGTCAGCAGTCTTCCCCATGATTGTGTAGCCTACTGAACCAGACTGAGAGACCATTTAAAGGCTCAGAAAACCTTTACAGGTGTTTTGAGTTAATTAGCTGATTAGAGTGTGACACCATGGATATAAATCAAATGCACTTGCAGTGCACAGTATATTTACCATTAGTAAATCAACCCCTATGGGTCACACTAATATGAGATAATCTCATCGATGTCCCAGGGTCTTGAATCATAGGTTGAACTACACAGAAGACAGTCATTGACACTCTCCACAAAGAGGGTAAGTCACAAAAGGTCATTTCTAAAGACGCTGGCTGTTCACAGATGCTATATCCAAGCATATTAATGGAAAGTTGAACTTTTTCACGATATTCTAATTTTCTGAGATACTTAATTTTGGGATTTCACTAGCTGTAAGCCATAACCATCAAAATTAAAAGAAAAAAAATGCTTGAAATATATCACTCTGTGTGTAATGAATCTATATGAGTTTCACTTTTTGAATAGAATTACTGAAATAAATTAACTTTTTGATATTCTAATTTATTGAAATGCACCTTTTTCTTGTCTCTTTCCTCTTTTTCTGTTCCATTGGGGATAGTTCAGTTGGATTAATATCATTATGGTTTTGTTGCTTTGTGTAATTTATCCTTTTCTTTTTCAGTTTGCTTTATTTATTTACAAGTAATATAAATGGTTCTGATGAAGCAGGCGATTCTGTGAAACGTGTAGTTCAACCTACGATTTATTCAAGAGCCTGGGACATCGATGGGATTATCCCATATTAGTGTCACCCATAGGGGTTGATTTTCTAACAGTAAATATACTGTGCACCGCAAGTACACTGCAAGTACACCTGCAAGTGCACATCAAGTGCACTGCAAGTGAATTTGCTTTATATCCAAGGGGAAACTCTGAAATGAGGCAAAGCTCTGCTGATTTCTTTCATCCAATCGTGTGCAAGCAAAAATGCTGTTTTTTTTATTTGCCTTGAATGTTCTCAGATGTAGAGCAACTGCATTTGCAGTGCACAGCCTATTTGCTTTTAGTAAATCAACCCCATAGTGTTCCTTATACATATGCTGTTTCTTAATTTTTATGCAACTTGATGTATTTATTACGTAAGCACCCATGTCAGTGGTAAACAGTTTGTCTCAACCCTCTATCTGCTACATTTGCAGGACAGCTTGCTCTCTTGAAATAGACTTGCTGGCAAGATCACCAGATTGAAAATAAAGGAAAAAAGGCTAAAAGAAAACTATCACAGCCACCACATTTAAGAATTAGAAAGCTTCAATATCAATCGTTTTCCTATTAACGACAGATAACAATTTACATGTGGAAAGGATCAGGGAGAGGAGGAATAGGAGGGATCTAGAAATCCAGCAAGGGGAAAACAGGCAGGACAAACCCGCTGCTTGGGATTTCACTACAGCAATGGCAGCGTTGTCAGCCAACAAGAAGAAATTAGGGGTTTTATTTCCTAAATCTGGTTCACTCAGAATCACGTTCACTTCTGCATCCAGTGGGGCAACTAATTATTTGATCTCCTGCAGATTTTGTACATTTGCCTACTTACAAAGAAATTAAGGGTCTATAATTCTTTTTATCATAGGTGTATTTTAAATGATGGAGACTCTCATCTCGCTATATGCACTGAAGCACAAAACAATAGATTGGAAGACTTTGCTACTTATTTTGGGACAAGCTTTTGGGGGTCTACACATTCTTCTAGGTTCACACAGTGTTTTGACCTAGAAGGGGTTAGACCCCCCCCCCCCCCAAAGGCTTGTTCTGAAAAATTAAAGACCATATTGAGAAAAAGTCCTCCTTTTCAGTGTGAGGTTTGCACAAATCCAGGCACATACAAAATTTGATATGATCTTCCACCATATCATAGTAAATAAAGCAGATACTCAAGCTACCGCTGATGTCTCAGTCAATGACGAGGGAAAGACCCAGGAGAGCTGAGGCTTTCATGTACATTGCTGGATCAGGATGGGGCTCAGGTATGTTTTAGGGGGCCTGGGAGCACTGCTACACACAGGTTTTTTTTATCTTCATGCATAGAATGCATGAAGGTAAAAAACTTTGAGTCCTTACAATCACTTTAACCTGTGTTTGCATCACTGGAATGTTGTATTACAAAACTGCATTTGAGTTTTAGGTTCCAGACAGATGTCCAGACATTTTTCAGTAGAACATCCTTTATACAGCTTTGAATTCACTGGCCCCACCATTATCACAAGCTCCGTAGACCTTAGGCATCAAAACTGGCTCAAATTTTTACACTCCTCCTCCACCATGCTTCAAAGTTTGGATCAGATAGAACATTTTTGTCCAAAAGCTCAACTTTTGCCATGCTGGTCAGCAGAATGTTGCACCAGTAGTGCTGTGGAACATCCAAATAATGCATAGAAACCAAAGGTGGGTAGCATAATTTTTTAGCCATAGTTTCTCTCATTTGTAAATGCCCATAAACACTTGCGGTGTCTGTCCTATGGTAGAATCTTATTATCAAGGTCCAGAGATACCTGCAGATCCTTAACAGTCCCTCTAGGGTTCCTTATATTGATCCTAAAAGGATACTAGTAGCAATGGCATTGAATTTCTTTGTTAATGTACATGCTTGTCTGACTATGGGCTGAAAAGGCTAATTATAATGTAAAGCGCTCAGCAAACTGTCAGCTCTATACAAGTCCTGTATAATAATAATATCTTTAGGAATCCTATTGTAATTCTTCAACAACTGTTCCTCTGACATCGTCTGCGATCACTTTTAATCAGATCCCAAAATATTGTTGGGTAGGTTATACAAATGCCAAATTTTGCTCAACTAATCATTTGAAATGCTGAACTTTGATTACCCTTTATTCAAAAAAATCAAGAAAAAGGTGTTCATATACTTTTTTTTTTTTTTTTTTTTTTTTTTTAAATCAATGATTGTTTAAACCACATGCTGAATACATTTACAGCAATGTTAATATATGTGTTCTTTATTACAAATACTTCTTTATTATGATTTAGAGGAAAAGCAGATCAAATTAGTGGAGAAAATTAAAGAAATCCACGAATTTACCAAGGGTTCACAGAAGTTAAACAGAAAAGCTCATCTGTTTAATAACCTTTGCAGTATGTCTGGCATTGTACAAATTCTGATTGATTGGGTAAATCACTTGAACATCAGCATGTAATAAAGGCAGTTCATCTGTTTAATAACTTGGAAAGATATTATGAATTGGTTAGCACTGTATCTGGACTCTGTTCATGTTTGGAGTTCAGTCTGGCAATTGGTTCTGTCTGATTTTCGGATTGTACTTCTTTTTTCAGCTTTTGTAGCTCTTTTGCGGACAAAGGACGTAGGACACAAACCATGGCCCGGCCGTCTTTCCTTTCTTTAGGTTGTGAAGAGCAGATAGCCTGATACTGCAGGAATTCCAGTACATTCTGCAAAACATCCTAAAATAATCAAAATACAACATTAATTTTTGTTAAAAACGTGCAAGTTTTAACTTTCACTGGAAACACATCACTATTTGTCTCACAGTTGCATCCTTGGCACAATATTGATTATGAATCACATGACATTCTGACACCTACTGTACAGCATTAACTTATGATGCCATGTCATTCACTTGTTGCATCAGACAGTTTACCTGAAAGCAAGATACATTTGTCACCGAAGTACCCATCATAACATACCATAAAGTATATGTAAGCCAAAATAATAAAGTAGTGTAAATAGCTCCTTTTTAGTAAATGTAGATATGTAAGTTTTTTTTTTTTTTGTGTGGTGCAAATGCATATAGATAGTTGTTGATCCTGCCAGTGTATTCTGTAGGATGGTAGTCTTAATGTGCTTTCAATTACAAAACGGTAAAAAAAAATGGATCTACTGGAAGGACCAGCAGGCAGCAAAACGATGTTGGGGGGGGTCTAATAAAAACCAAACACTGCTGTGGTAATCCAATTTTTAATTTTGCCTATAGTGAAACTTTAAAAGTGTTACTAAACCCAAGACCCTGCATTCAGTAGATCTGTTTAAGTGGTAATCAACAATGAAGGAAACAGAAGCAGGGTCGACGGTGACTACTCCTGTCGAAGTAAAAATAGATGGTAGGGATATACCAAGAGGCCCCTGTGGATCCAAGAAGGATGAACTACAATCATAATCATTACTATCAGATACCGAGGGGTGGGTGGAAACCTAGGAATGGGAATTCCTTCCAAAGAAGACCATCTGGGAGGGGTCATTGGAACAACTGGAGACCCTATAATAATTATAGACCCAGTTTCCATTTGAGATATGATGAAAGGAGCCCAAGACCACCATATAGACAGTGGAATCCACCAAGATATGAGGGAAGGGTCCTGTACCCACTTATAATCGTTATGAGCCTCAGAGAGGACTATGGAACCACATATGATCATCACCTGAGGTTTTTTTTTTTTTTAGACAGAGAGAGACAGGAGAAAAGCCCAGGGAGAGAAGGATGGACAAGAAGAAGCCCAAAATAGAGGAAGGGACGTAGAGGCGGGAGGAAGAAACGAGAAAAAGAGCGACTGGGGAAAGGGTTTTCAATTTAAGTGGTGTAACCCTGATGAAAGAAGAGATGAAGGTACTTGATAAAAGGTCTTAAATTTGCTCACAAGAAGTCAGCTAATAAATTTGATGACTATGTGGATCTACAGACGTATGTTTGTAAATTAAGCATTAAAAAATATCTCCTAAGTCAACCAGAGGTGAAAGACATAAAGACAAATTTATCTTCTGTGGGAATACAACACACCATGTTTCGGAATAAATCTTTGTTCAACCTCCAAATTAGTGATAACAGCCATGTTAAAGTTTTTTTTAAAAGGATGGTTACTCAGGATCTAGATTTGTCGACATTGGTATAAAGAGGCTGGAGAAAAGGAAGGATATGGTCATCTGACCAGCCGACAAAGGTGGAGGGATTGTTATGGTGTCCAAGGAATATTATATGAATGAATTACAAGGCCAATTGCAGGATACGGATACATATGAAAAAATTATTGAAGAATCCCACGATCAAGTATAAAAAGGAGTTATATCATCTAGTAAAAAAAAAAAAAAAAGAAGAAGAAGAAAAAAGTCCTCAGTGATAAGGACTTTTGGTCCCTGATATCTGTCGTATCCCTGTTATCTATACATTACCTAAGATTCACAAGGATAGTCTCAATCCGCCAGGTCGTTCAATTGTTAATGGGATTCAGTCAGTAGGAGCTAGCTTAGGTCCTTCCTACAGCCATTAGTACAGAAACCAAAATCATATCTCAGAGATACTAAACATCTTATACAGCTGCTTGATGATCTCCAATTTAAGTCCCAATCCATTACTCTAGCAACCGCTGATGTAGCATCACTATACACTATCATTGGACATCAGGATGCAATCAAAGCTGCAAGTTAGGCTATGAGAGAACTTGGAGATCTACAATGGGCCCAATGAAAATATCTGTTGGAATGCCTAGAATATTGCCTTAAAAGCAACTATTTTTGGCCTAATCAAGATTTTTACTGTCAGATAAAAGGGAATTGCCATGGGAGTACAATTTGCTCCAAGTCTGACTAATCTATTTATGTCCTTATGGGAGCAGGAAGCCGTTTATAGTAGTCCTCCAGAGGAATTAAAACTTTTCAAGCGTTATATTGATGACGTGATCATAATTTGGGAGGGAGAGAAAGCGGATCTTATGAAATTTCTTGAATGGTCTGAATATGAATGCTAAGAACATTTGTTTTTCATGGGAGTGTGATGACATGAGAGTCAATTTCCTTGATTTGGAAATCTTGTTGAGAGATAGTGGTCTAGTTATAAAGACTTTCTTCAAAACAGTAAACAGGAATGGTTATATTCCTTTTGACAGCTGCCATCATCTACCTTTTCTATTAAAAGTTAATTTTTTTAAAACTGCTTAAATGCTGCCCTATAGCAGAAATGCTGCTACAGGGTGGCAGCGGTGCGCAAAATCACGTATATAGATGTGATTTTGCATTTCCACATAGGGGATGCGCGCAAGCTGCCATTCGCAGCCTCGGCTGTCAATCACGGGGTCCTGACCGGCAATTACTTGCTGGCGCCCCGGTGATTGCCGAGCATCTATTTGTAAACAAAACAGTTTTCTCCCTGAGAAAATCTCTGCAAATTAAGGGAATTCCTTGGGGCCCCAAGGTCAATAGAACTACTGTCCCCACTGGAAAATTTCCCCTCTATTACTTTTCTGGGGACAACCCAAAATTTGGGGTTTCTTTTACTTTCAACAATAATAGTAAACAGGACAATGGGGGCAAATCTCCCTAATGGGCCAGGCACAACACAATAAAAAGCCGACAGGGGTCTAAACTATCCATACTCTGTCCAAAACTTAAATAAAAAATACCTTATACATTAAATATTTGAAGGTAAAGAAAGAAAAATCATTGGACAACAAAAAAAACCACTTGCAGAACCCCCCACCCGACACAGCAAGGGTTAAAGTGGAACAAAAGGCTTAATACTTAATCGTCCAAAGGTCCTGCACCCGAAGGGGATGACGTCACTCCTTTGCATGCACAAGAGGCCATCAACCCGAGACTCCAAGACAGGCCTGGCGCTGTAAGCTGAGCTGCACATGCACAGCTCAATTTAAAACGCCAGAGAAAACAGCGAACAGGCATGTATAGGCATTTTATTGCAGAAGGGATAGTACAGGTCTCTTCTGCAATAAAAGTCTGCCTGCTTGTTTTATTTACAGCAGAACTTTAGTTCCGCAATAAGTGTGAGTAAAGATCAGGGGGTTGCAGAAGGGACTGTATTACCTTTTTTCTCACTCCCTCGGTGTCCTTCCAGTGGTGCGACAGGTTGCCCACAGCCTCCTCTCTAAGCTGCTCTCGGCCACGGTTGCATGCTTGTCCCCACCGCATACAATACAAGGCATGCATCATACACAAGGTACTGCCCACAGACCAGAGCTTCAAAGTGAAGAGGACAGTGCCAGTGCAGGGCAGAGCAGGTGGTAATGTAAGTAATGTAGCTTCATTCTGCAGCCCCTAGATTAAACCTTGTAGTTTGTTGGGGGGATCCCACTTAAAAGGGATCTTTTGCTGCACCTAGAGTAGGGCTTTAACCATATGCCTGGAATTCATCTCCACAAGCAGCAGATTTTAAGCTGCAAAGGAGCAGAAAATAAGAACTTTCCAATATTATCTGAGAAGAATGTTAGAACAATACAAATAATGAGTAATTATAAATACATATTTTATAGCAAAATGGTGTAGATGCTGTAAATAAAACATGTATTAAGAATGCAGCAAGAACTAGTATTTCTATCTGCAAGATTATGTTTATTTTCATTCCTTTCTTCTGCAATCAGATACCTTTTCATAACTGCCAAATTGTTCTTCCTGACATCTCCATAATATGCTTATTAGCAGCTGACAGTAACTCACCAGCTCATGGGCTGAATAAAAACTGGGAAGATCAGTACGTATTTCCCCCTGACAAAGCCACTTAAAGGGTTGTCAATCATAAATAAACCAGATTTGATATAAGCATGTATGATAGGGTTTATTTGCAGAAAGCAGTTTATAAAAATATGATCTTGCCAACAATACTGTACAGTGACCAACCAAATCCCACCTGGCATTATTCCAGAACTTTTTGGCAAATGAGAACTATGGGCAGCTGCATGATCATTCCTTATTGCAAACAGATATCAAATATACTTTAACCACTTGCTTCCCAAGTCTATTCTGACACTTCTCTCTCCTGCTGTAAAAATCTGATTTTTTTTTTTTGCTAGAAAATTACTTAGAACCCCCAAATGTTATATATATTGTTAAGCAGAGGCCTTTAGAGAATAACATGCTGGGTGTTGCAAAGTTTTATAATCATACTGTATTTGCGCAGTGGTTTTTCAAACAATTTGTTTTTAAAAAATACGCTTTAATGAATTTCAATGAACAAAACACAATAGATTACCCAATTGTTTGGTAAGATGATATTACGCCGAGTATATAGATACCCAACATGTCACGCTTTAAAATGGTACACACTCGTGCAATGGCGACAAACTACGGTACTTAATCTCCATAGGGAAAGCTTTAAAAGTCCTTTAAGGGTTACCAGTTTAGAGTTACACAGAAGGTCTGGTTCTAGAATTATTTCTCTCACAAAAACATTTGCTGTGATACCTCACATTTGAGGTGCGAACACCATTAACATATGCCTGCACGACCTATGTATATGTTCACCTTTGCATGGGAGGATAAAGGAGCTTTAATTTAAAAAAAAAAAAAAAAAAGTTTATTTTTACACCGTCTCTAATTTTTATCAACTTTATTGCTATCACAAGGGATGAACACAGCATGGCCAGGGCAGGTCCTCTTTATTGAGAGATCTGACATCCATTAGACCCCAGATCTCTCCAATGTCCTTCAAACCATCAGATAAAAC